TGTTAACTCAGATTGATTGATCTTTTCATGAGCATCTCTCTGTGATGGCTACATGGGTTTACTGTCCTGGCATCTTTTACAGAAAGGCCCAGAGGTATGACAGTGATGTATCATCTCATCCCTCAGGTGGAAGCCAGGGAGAACTTCACTCCTGGCAGTAATTTAGGTCCCAGGAGCCAATGGAATGGGAGAGCATAGACCAGGAAGAGTGAGCGCTATTGGAGAAACTTGGGTCTATGGAAAAGCGACACCCTGACCTAAGGTTCCCTTCTAGGGGCCTTATCTACTTACACACCTAAACTACAGCGAAGTCACTATCCTGTAGCAATCATGATTGCCATTTCTTATCACTCCTGAGGCTACCATCCCCAATGGCTCAGTGTATAGCAAAGGGCTTCACATGGGAGCTGTATCCTCCCAAGTACCCCCATTACCACAGGTACAGATCATAGCCCAGACATTTCAATTCCTGCCACAAGAAAGATGCTGACTTCCTGGATGCTGAGATCCTGAGTACAGGGGCTGTGAATTAGGGTCCAGACATGTACTTCCCGTCTCACAATGCTAAGTCTCAGGTGGTCAGATCCTGTCTCCCTCTTGGGAATAGCTTTACCAAGGCCAAGTTCCCTACTGAGGTGTTTCTGAGGTGGCGATGTCTCTATCTTTCCAATGCAGCAAGAACTTGGGAGGGAAAGAGCCTGCCAGCAGCCCATATTCACAGGGGATCCTAGAACTTGGGAGGGAGAGAGCCTTCCAGCAGCCATATTCACAGGGGATCCTGGAACTTGGGAGGGAGAGAGCCTTCCAGCAGCCCATATTCACAGGGGATCCTGGAACTTGGGAGGGAGAGAGCCTTCCAGCAGCCATATTCACAGGGATCCCTGTGCTTATCACAGCACTGATTCACATTCCCTGGTACATGTGGCCTGGAAGAAGTGAACAGGGTCGCTGACAAGTGGTGGCTAGACCCTCATTAGGGCGGAGGCAGACAGATCTGTGAGTTTGAGCCCATCCTGGTATGGTCTGCATAGTGTGTTCCAGGACAGCAGGGTCATAGAGAGACCCTGTAGTGAGGTGGCTAGGAGTGGGGGTGGGGTGGGGGCGGTGCACAATAAGTTCATTGTATAGGAGCCTTGGCAATGACTCAGATAGGCTTAGCCCTGTAGTAGCAGGAAAGGGAGCCTGGGCATGCTGGTGGAGCTGGACAATTCACACAGATAGGGTGGTCCTGTAGTCAAGGCCTGAGCCTAGTACTCTGGTACTCAATGTCCCTCCCCCAGAGACAAGCCTGGAGCTCTACTGTAGGTCAGAATGCAGACACTAGGCAAATTCTTTCTTATAGATGTTTTACTTCTCTGTCTCCTGAAGCTCAGCATCCCACAGGCACTACTGGCCCTGCACAGATAGCTGTGCACCTCCGCCTACCAGGGCTACACTCTCCTATGGCAGCTGGCAGTGCAAGGAGTTCTAGCTACAGGCTCAGGAGTGGGCAGACAGATGGCTCCTTCTCAGGGCTGTGACTAGTATCTAACTGCCTTTTTTTCTATTGGAAAAATATCAGTGAAAATTGTGTAGGGCCTCATAAGACAGCCCATTAGGTCTTGGCCCAAATGGACCTAGATGCCAGCCATCTAGCCAAGACTCCTCCCAAGTACGTGTGACCTCAGCCCTGTGGCTAGCCAGTCTCTGGGACCGTCTGCAGTCCATTTGTAGATGTCCACTAGGAGACTCTTCTTACACTCTGGGGCCACCAAGAACATCCTTCCAGAGGTAAAGAGACCCTGTGTGGGTCATCTTGTAAGGGACAGCACAGGTTAAGCACAGCAGTGGAGACTGCGTCCCTCCAGGGGTGATATCCCTTCTAGAGTGACTTCAAGGGCATGATATGACTGAAGTCTGCAGACCTCTGCTACACTGTGTATGTCTTAGGTTTCTATTGCTGTGATAAAATATTATTTAGTTATAGGAAGTCAAGGCAGGAACTCAGCAGTAATCCAGGAGCAGGGGCTGCCGCAGAGAGCACAGAGGAGCGCTGTTCACTGGCTTGTTCCCCATGGCTTACTCAGCCTACTTTCTAAGGAATGCTGCTCTGTTTTCCTAGGGATGGCACTCCCACACTTGGCTGAGCCCTCCCACATGAATAATTAATCAAGAAAATGTCCCACAGGTCAATTTGATGGAAACATTTTCTCAAATGAGGTTTCCTCTTTTCACAATGCTGGCTTGTATCAAGTTGGCAAAGAATCCAACCAGCAGTGTACCTTGGGCTTTGATGATTGGTCCCTAAGTTGGACACCTCTGGATTCCAGCTGCCTGGCACCTTGTTCACCTCTGCATGGGCACCTTTTGTTGGACTGATATCCAGGAGTTCCATTAAGCAGGGGGCAAGGGGTCCAAGGGTACAGAGGCATCTACCACTATGTGGTGGGTATTTCCTGGGCTCCAGACAACCCCAAGATATCCCTGACTTGCCATCTTTGTTAGAAGGCAAGGTCTCTAAAGGTCAAAACCTTCCTACTATGAGTGGGGGGTCCAGTGAGGAGATATGAGTAGTAGGGAGGTGAGGGGGGTCAAGGGCCCTGGATAGCAAGTAGCAGGTGATAGTTTAGGTGGGCTAAATGCAGGAAGTGTGTGGAAAGGGGATATGGGCATTTCTGTTCTGGGTGCCTTGTTCCTACCTCAGAGCTTAGCAATAGAGCCAGCGTGGAGTGAGGATGTCCTGAGAGGGGAACAGACATTTCTGGACCCCATGGGTATTATAGGATCCCACTGTGCATCACCTATGCACAGTAGGAGGCTGTGGCCCAGAGTCACTACCAATTGTACTCATGGTTGGGTCTGTTGAGTGCTTGGGCAGGTCAGAAAAAAAAAGGGCTGTACCGAATGGATGCCCCAGTGAGTGGCAGCTGTGTGTCCTCTTTCAAAGTTTGCTGTGCAGATGTTGGTTACCAAGTTGAGTGGCCCCTGTGGCCACCCTTACCCCTCCAGGCAGGTACCTAATTTCTAGTGGTGGCTTGGAGAGGATCCACTTCCTTTCTAACTGGCTACAGATACCCACGGACCCTCTGCCTGCTGACTTTATGATCTCTCTAAGTGGGAGCACCTGAATGGAGACCAATAGGATGGTCCCTACTTCAGGGAAAGAGAGAAATGAGTCCAGCCAGCTTCAGGTAGTATCTCCAGGCTACAGGACAAAAGGGGGTCGGGCAGAAGCTTCAGAACCAACTAATGAGACATCAAACCTCAGCCCTGGGTTAGATAGATAGAACTGGTAAACTGTACCCAAGGCAGTGTTGCCCTGCCTTATATATGATAGACTCCAAGATACATTCCAAGAATCAAATGATGGAGAAAAGATGTGGAATGAGCTCAGAGCCCCCAACTACTTCAGGGTACTCTGGGGTGCACACAGGCTTTGGGTGTTGACTGGGTTTTCTGTCCTGCCTGGTTCCTGCAGTTGTTATGTCCCAGAGAAATCACACAGAGGTCTACATTAGTTGTAAACTGATTGGCCAATTAGTTCAAGCTTCTTATTAACTCTTACAACTTACATTAGCCCATTATTCTTATCTGTGTTAGCCACGTGGCTGAGTGCCTTATTTGGCAGGGCAGTCACATCTTGCTTCTTCTGTGGCCAGGACAGGACTGCAGAAAGCTGACTCCTCTTCCCAGAATTCTCCTGTTCTCATTGACCCGCCTCTACTTCCTGCCAGGTTGTCACCTATACTTCCTGCCTGGCTACTGGCCAATCAGCATTTATCTAAAATATAATTGACAGAATACAGACCATTGTCCCACACCATTTGTGTCTGGTATTTGTCAGGTTTTCTTGTTTCTGACTGTCACTAGCTTTGAGAAGTGCCATGACTGTTTTCGTTTTTTGGTTTTGGTGGGCTTGATGAGAGAAGAGAGAGTCATGGATGGAAAGATTTCCCATACATGCACATATAGGCATGTTAATACATTTTCACTTCCTATTACAAGGAGGCATCTTGATTCCCCTCAGGAGCTACAATAAACACCCTTAGGTATGACATGACACAGGATTCTTTGCTAGGTTCCACCCTGGAGAGGTGAGTAGTACTGGCAAGATTGTGTAGGCGGAGACTGCTTGTTCATTCCCAGCTACCCAGACCTGAAATAATCACACAGAAACTATATTAATTGCAACACCACTTGGCCAATGACTCTAGTGTATTTCTAGCTAGCTCTTACATCTTAAATTAACCCATATCTGTTATTCTGTGTATTGCCACAAGGTTGTGGCTTACCAGGTAAAGTTCTGGCATATGTCTCCTTCGACAACTACATGGTGTCTCCCTGATTCTGCCTACTCTCTCTCTGCCTCTCTGTTCAGATTTTCCGCCTAGCTTTATTCTTTTAAGTCATTGGCCGAAAGCAGCTTCTTTATTTTTTTGTAGTAGGAGGCTGCTTGTTTGCTTCCGCCACCCAGACCTGAAATAATCACACAGAAACTGTATTAATTACAACACTGTTTGGCCAATAACATACATATCTCTAGCTAATTCTTACATCTTAAATTAACCCATTTCTATTATTTTGTATTTTACCACGAGACTCATAGTTTACCTGTAATGTTCTCCAGTGACTATCTCTTTCGGCAGCTACTTGGCATCTCCCTGACTCTGCTTTCTTTTCTCCTTTATCTCTGCTTGGAATTCCTGCCTTGCCCTATTCTGTACTGCCATAGGCTCAAAGCAGCTTCTTTATTAACCAGTGATAATAAAACATATTCACAGCATACAGAGGGGAATTCCACATCAAGAAAGGGCATCAGAAATTGGTAGAGTGAAAATAGGCATGGTTCTTGTATTCTCAGCATTTGTGTGACTGAGGTAGAAGTAGGTTGGGCTACATAGTAATGTCCTGTCTTAAAAAAAAAATCCAGGTCGTAGTGGCGCATGCCTTTAGTCCCAGCACTTGGGAGACAGGTGGATTTTTGTGCGTTCAGGGGCAGCCTGGTCTATGAAGCAAGTGACAGCTTGGGTTGTTATACAGAGAAACCCCAAATAGGACAGAACAGGTGAGAGGCATGTTCATGTAATTTGCATGTGGTCATATGAATGCAGGTTAGCAGAGTCAGAGTCAGTTGCTAAACATTCTGCAGGAGTTTTCTTCCTGTATGTACCCGCCCCCACCCCAGACCATACACAAACGGTGGTTCTTGCCTTCAGCCCCCACCAGGGATTACTATGGGCGACAGGGACCTCAGGCTTCCAGTGACTCTCCAATCCTGTGTTCTTGCCTGAAAAATGAAAATAATGGCACAGCTGTGAGGCAAAATAGCTACATTGACTTGCCAAAGGTCATGTTTCTTTCTGGCTCTGTTTCCCCTAATGTAAGCAGAGTATCAGTTGTCTGTAACTTATTTTTAAGATGAACGTTGAATCAAGCTCACGGGCATTTCTTGTGGTTGATGTACCTAGAGCCTGGGGTACCAGGACAGATCAAACAGCCAGGATAAAGCCACTGGCCCAGCTAGGACGGATCCACGCCTCGGGGTTGGATTAGTTGGGCCTGCCCGTCTCCCGCCCACATAGCGCCCCGCCTGCCCGCGCCACCGCCACCCCGCCCACCCGGTGGCTCCTGGCAGCTGCTCCCAGAGCGCCCGTAGCGCTCAAAGAAGGTGCTGGGGCTTGTGTACCCCGCGCGTCCGAGGTCCGGCTGAGCAGAACATGCAGAAAGAGGCTAGCTGGGTAGCAGGCCCATAGGAGTTTCCCTGCCACCCATGCCAGTACCGCGCCTAGGGCTCAGACCTTCGAGGAACGCTCCGGAGCGCGTGGGATCTGGGTACCCCCGAGGTCAGTGTGTGTTGTGGGCTCTGAAGAGCAAAGCGGGACTTCTGGCTTCGCGGGCGGGGAAGCACCGAATCCTTTGAAGAATGGGCAACAGGACGACCCTGGGAGCCCCGCTCATTCTTGCATCCTCTGCTAGACCAGGTCGCTCAGAATACCCGTGTTCTGTGTTCTCCAAGCTGCACCCGGGGCGCATGTGGTGGCAAGTGGTAGGGGTGTTGTCTGGCGAGGGTCCCGGCCCGTTGGACTTGCGGTGTAGTCAGGTGATGCACAGTGGGGGGGGGGGCGCCTTTGTCTGCACCCCTGTGCGCAGTGGGCCACCGCCACCGGCTGTATGGTGCCTTGCTTACCTGACTGGAGTTGAGTTCTTTGTTTGGGGCGGGATGCGGCCGGCAGCCTGCGCTTCCTGTCTGATCTGAGGGTGCCCCTAGGGTCCGGTAGTCTCAAACAAAGCAAGGGATGACCCTAGCCTCCTCAGAGGATTAGTGGTGTCTTCCTACCAGACATGCCTTTTGCGTGGAGCCACAAGCCTGCAAGCTAGGGATTTCCCACATGCTCCTTGGCACGAAGTGACCGTATTTTCTTATTCTGCACTCTGGCTGCAAACCAAGATTGGAGGAGGACTGCATGCCTGAGTCACGTCCCTGTAGATAATGCCCAGAAAGTTATGAACACAGGGTTGGAAACCCGGTGAGACTTCACCCGTCTTGGTCTAACTAGTCAGTTCTGAAGTTTGGCAGAAAGGAAAAGACTGAAGGGACATCTCTGTACTTGCAGCTCAAATTTGTGCCACTGACACCCCTGGTTTCCCCAGAGGTTCTGGAAACTGGGGTCTTCTGGGTCAGAGCTTTTGGGAACAGGATAACCATCCTGGCCATGTATTCAAAACCCTAAAAAGCACTAGGATTCCTGCCTGCACCCATGGTCTTCCTGAGCAGATTTGCCTGTGGAGGGAGAGAACTGGTTGTGACCATGCCATGTCTGTCCTGTGATGGGAAGAATATGCCACCCCTGCTTTCCCCCCTCTGCTCCCCACCCCTTCACTACTCCCCTTGGCTCTCCAGGATATTCTTAAGGTCTCAATTAGAGGAGGTAGAGCAGGGGTCACCCTGCCCTCCCTCTCTTCACCTAAACTCAGGTCCTTTCGTTGCTGCTTACTGTTTGTGCTGAGGAACAGGGTCTTAAGTCTTGGGATTTGAAAGTTACCTTTTGGGTTGGATCTGGGATTGCAGATCTTGATCTTGATGGCTTGTTTCATTTTCCTGTCTGAGAGGTCAGGGTTCTTCCTTTTCGGCTTACAGGAGGTAGCTTGGGCTCCAAACTCACTTGGAGCAGAGAGGTCCAGATGGTCTTGCTGAAATTTCCTGCACTAAGGATTTGGTGGCACCTAGAGGGCCTGTAGTGAAAATCCCAGGGCAGCCTCTTCAGAGGGAGGCTGGTTGCTGTCTTCTGGTGCCTTGTGGGGCTGGTTATGTAGGTTCCCAGGGCTGGTACACATAAGGAGGCTGTAGACACAGGGCTACAGGACAGTAGCCCTAGTCTGACAGGACTCTAGAGGGGCAGCCCTGTGTCCAGAAGAATAGGATAGGAAGGGGGTCTGGGGGTTCTACACAATTCCACCACAGCCATAGAGAAGTTTGGGCTCTGGTCTGGGGAGAGCCTAAAATTTTCACCACTGGGGGCCACTTGTACTTATTTGGTTTGTTGTAAAGAACTTTAAAAGTTAAGCTAGCCAGAATGGTACAGGAACTGATGACCAAGTGACCTGCCTTAGCTCTGATAGGATGATGACAGGTATGGGACCCTGGGTGTCCTGGTAGACAGAGCAAGGCAGTAAGAGGCAATGCCCGGTCATTTCTAAGACCCTGATGTGCCTGTCTGCAGACAGCAGTGATAAGTAACAGCTGAAGCTACAGGTTGGGTTGTAGCCTCTCTTCCTACCCAGTCCTGGCACCTCCTTCATCTCCAGGGAACATCACTGGTTCCATATCATGTGTGTGACATAGCACAGAGGCTTATTGACTATAGAAGTTCACAGCTCACTATTGAGACTGGAAGTCCAAGGTCAGAACACTGAAAACTCTGGTATGTGAGGTCGAGGTGGCTGCTCTGTGCTTTACTACTACTTTGTGCACTATAGTCACCCAGCTTGTAGTAAGTATCCCCGCATCAAAGACAGGAGCCTGTCACCAGGAGAGAGCAAAACTGGGTGGTCAGAGTAGCCTATGGATAGGGCCCTGCCTCCTTGCTCACTACCTCTCTGTCCAGTCCTGTGAGTTCTGCCTCTCACTGTTCTGGGGTATTCTTTTTTAACTAGAAAAAAAGAAAAATAAAATCCCGGGGGTGGTGGTGCACACCTTTAATCTTAGCACCCAGAAGGCAAAGGCAGGCAGGTATATCTCTGAATTCGAGGTCTTGGTATACACAGTGAGTTCCAAGCCAGTCAAGGCTACAAAATGCGACTCTGTCTCAAACAAACAAACAAACAAAAAATGATATATGTGCAGGTACATTGTACAATATGTGCCAAAGAGGCCAGAAAATCTTTGGGACCAGAGTTACAGATGATTGTGAACCACCATGTGGTTGCTGGGAATTGAACCCTGGTCTTCTCTGCCCAGGTCCAGTGTTCTGGGGTTTTTCTTAACTTTACCAATCAGAAAGAAGGAAAATGGATCCTTATTTAAGCATGTTTATGATCAGTGCAGTTCAAGGGTGGTTTACTGACCTGGCCATTACTAGAGCCCTGGGGTACAGGTAGGGATGTCAAAGGCTTAAATCTGTTGCCTCTTCTGTGGCATGAACTCTTGAGGTGTGGGTAGGAAAGGCCCTATTTTCATACTCATGATGGCTTTATATTGTTCCAGTCTTTCTTACATTCCTGTCTGAGGTCTGTCTGGAATTATTTTGACATGGAGAACAGTGAGCTCTGTGCTCTCCCAAGTGGGAGTGCCTCCCATAGACATGCTTGGGTACTCCCCTAGGTCTTCTCAAGCTTCAACACCACATCTTTTTGTTGATTGGGGAATTGTAGTTTATGGCCAATAAAATGCACCTAAACAACCAATTTGATGCATTCTGACAGCACCCACCAAGTCGCAGCACCCTCTGGCTGCCTTAAACTTCCTTGAATGCAGATGGCATCTTGCAGCATGTGCTCTTTGAGCACTTGAGATTCATCATATTGCCTGTGTCCACAGCTCTCCCTGGTTGTGCTGAGGTAGACGCTATGTCCACTTTGTTGCCTATTGATAAACCCTGGGATGTTCTCACCCCAGGCCTTGGACTAGTCCACTTAGAGACTCTGTGGACAGTAAGGGCATTCTGATGTTGTTCTGTTGGATTTGAGCTGGGGAAGTTGTAGTTAGAGCTGCAATGTGGTGTGCCAAGTGTCCTCCATATATAGCCTCTTGGGATGAGGCCTCTTCTGAGCTGTCTCTCCCATGAATTCCCTTGGGACAAGCCTGTCCTCCCTCTCCCTACAGAAGCTACGCCATCACTTTCAGTGATAAATGAATTCCTTCTTTGTAAAATCATAAAATAGGAGAGTTTGAGCCGGGGACATGGTCCCAGATCCACAGAACTCTACCAATCTCTAGTGGACATGTGTCCCCCCAGACCTTCCTAAGGCCTTACTGACATAATCATAATCACACACACACACACACACACACACACACACACACACTCACACTCACTGTGTATGCCAGTATATGTAAACATGTACACCAATGTGTCTACCCATATACTTGCTTACACATGATCAACTGTATGCCTATACAGTATAGGCACCCAAAATTTGTGCACATACATGTACAGAATATATACACAAGCACCTTGTGTATACATGTCTGTGGTTGACGCATGACATCTCATAATTGCTTCTTTTTTGAAGCAGTGTCTGAGGTCTGTTCAAGAGGCACACTGCACTAGGTGGGCACAGCAGTCTTGATGAACCCCATGCAGTATGACAGTATTTGCATGCAGGTACAGAACAGGGAGAAGCAGAGACAGTCTTGGGGCTTCAGGTGAAAACTAGAAACCCAAGGCCTCATTTTTGTGGATGAAAAGTTTTGTGTTTGGTTGTAGGGAAAGCACTGCTCCATGGAGACTCTCCCCCAACCCACCCACATGTGTGGCATAGCAGTTATAAATAACAGAATTTCACAGCTCACTGCTGAGAGCGGTACTCTGAGATCAGGTGGGCACAGGATAATCTGGTGTCTGGTAGCTAACGCTTCCTGTTCACAGAGGGCACTCACCGTGTCCTTCCTGTTCACAGAG